CGGTAACTCTCCCCTTCGATTTTAGAGACCTACCCTTATCCCGATATCTCGAAGAAAGTTTAGTTTAGGCCTAGCTAACGAGTTATACGTTTATAATAGGGCGATATTAGCTCGTAGCGTAATCTTTATAATAATCTAGGATAAATATAGAAGACTCGAATAGGAAATTCATCGGGCTAATTAGCGCTATTATATACTAGACTCTAATTTCGCCCTAGATAAGTTCTATAGAGATCTATTACTAACTCTAACTCGATTCCCGATTATTAAATATAGTCCCTTATTTCGGCTCTATATAGTAAGAACGTCTTCTAGTATATTCTAGATTTATCTCGATCTCCTATTAACCTACTAATATACTCTATACTTTACTACTAGAAATATTATCTATAATTTTAGAATACGTTTATACCTATATAGCTCGACTTTATAACACTAGGCTAACTTACTTAGTGCTACCGAAAGGAAGATCTAAAAAACCTCTACTTAGTCTTAAAAGCCTTACACTCGGCGACTATACTATAACTTTACCGATTAATTATTCTTCTTTCGAGAAACGAGGATAATCTAAGTGACTTAAACGTTAGACCTCTTTTAGAGCGGGGTTCTCGATATCTTAAATTTATAAGGGAGATTATTCTAATCGCGGAGTTCTATTAATTACTTCGCTATCGCTATTATAACTATAACTCTAATAACTCTAATAACTCTAATAACTCTAATAGCTCCGATAATTCTAATAATAGCTCCGATATCGAATATAACTCCCCTAGCGACGAAAATAACCTAGAATATCGAGACTCCCCTTAAAGGCTTACTATTAGTGAAGATATAAACGGAAGTATACTTTATAACGAGGACTAGGAGAATTAGCTAGGCGATAAATCCTATCTAATAGAGCGGCCTAACGATCGCTCTAATATCTCTTTAGTTAATTATCCTTATATTAACTCTCCTAAGGGACGCTCGGATAACCTCACGTAGTAGGAATAGCCGCTATATAAGTAGTTTATATAGATTTTAGAGTTAAGAATCTAGTAACTTCTAGATTTAATTCTAGAAGGTAGGTTAGAACGGTTTAGGTACGAGTTCCTTAATTATAACTAAGCTTATATAATCCTAATATAAAGTAATAGCTAGAATCTCGGTACCTATATTCCTAGAGCTATAATCGAATACCTTAGCACGAAATAGCTATAAATTATTTATCTAGAGGTTATTACCGATACGACTTATCTAGGCCTAGATTATTTAAATATATACGATTTATACGGATTTAAGAAACTTCGGCGTCTTCGCTTAATTACGTCTACTATTTTTTAGGACCCGGAATACTCCCTTAGAGAATTATTCTAAAATAACGCTTCGATATTAGAGGAAATCGAGATTAACGAGGTCGGCTATAGAGGACTATAAAGTAGAGTTCCGGGATAAAATAAACTACTTTATTAAATACTAGCGCTTCCTCTAGGGAAAATATAATAATTATTTCCCTTACTAAAGAATTTAACTCTAAGCGCGGTTTCCTTAGAAAATAGCGGTGATATTATACTATCTATTTTCTCTTTAAATTACCTATATTCGCTAGCTTTAAGAAACTATAAAGAATTAGCTAGCTTACTTAAAGCGCTCGGGTTAGACCACGTATTACCGTACTTAATAAGACTTAAGTCCTTTAAATATCTTAATAATAGTATATTAGGAGAGTCCGGGGCTATAGACTCTATTATAAACTTTCTCCTATCTTTTAAAGGGCTCTAGGATTTATTCCTATTATTCCTTAATATCTTTAAAAATAGTCTCCTAAGTTTAATATCTAATTATAAATCTTCGTTAAGAAGGCTTCTATATTATATCCTATAGATAACCCCTCGGCGAAATCTAACGTAGCGACTATTAAGGTTCTAATCCCCCTTATTTACCCGACTCTTAAGAGAAACCCCGAATCTTATTTATTTAGGGCTTAGCTATTCTCCGGAAGACTTAGTAAGTATAGATTACTAATTTTAGTAAAAAAGATTTCTACTAATATAAACTAGCGCGCTCTTTTTTCTCTTCCGAGCGTCTACCCCCACCTCCGACTACTATATGTTAGAGCCTTTAGGTGGCTAATATACGAGGGGTATCGTGAAGGATTAGACGATAAATCGGAGTCTAAATTCTCTACTATGCTTCTAGAGATTTATAAACTTACGAGTTAGGCCTTTAGGCTAGAGGGTTTACTAAGTCTACAAGTTCTTGCTTACGGAGACTTTTCTTATCGAGGGCGTAGGCTAAATCTCGTGCTCTATAGATTTAAATCACTAGATAACTCGGATATACAAGAATCGGCTACTAGGCTATCTGATATAGCATATAGAGAGGTCATAAAGGCAGACGTCTTAGAACAAGAGATTTTGTACGCTAACGCTCATTTCTTAGAAGCCTGCCTAGAGGATTCTTTATTATATGAGCGGAATCGCCCTTTCTGATTGAAAATTCCATATTCTGGTTCGTTAGCTTCACCAGGAAAAATTAGTTGGAGGCATCTATCGGCTCCCGGCGGTGCCAATTGGAACATTTGACTTTCTTATCTTCGAAACTGGCGTCCATGTGATAGCATATTTACAATAACCTACGTGTTTCGTTCATGCCCTAGACTATTGCTGGCTTATTCTTAGAAAAAGATTTTGGTCAGATTATGTTAGACGAATAGATTGTCTGTAATTCGAATCTTCCTTGAATTCAACATTAGTTAGCGTGGCTGCAGGCGAATGTATGAAGTGTGGTACGTAGTGTAGTGGGGTAACCCTTGACAGTAGCGTATTAGTAGCCTGATATATCGTAGATGCCTTAGGAAGCTTGCATGCAGTCTTTCCTTGGAGACCGGCATATAGCTTCAATACTAGTGCGATAGTCACCTACAGAGACTGCTCTCTATGTCTGTACAGGACATGGGAGTGGTTGGTTGTGCTGTCTCCATTGATATCGACCCATCTGCTATGCCAGACTGCCATCGTGCCATCCCCATTTCACCACCTTGGTATAAGCGCTAGAGCCTTATCTTCCCCTTTCCATCGTATGTGGCTGTTTGACAGAGCATTATTCTATTTGTGCTCTCCGTCGTAATACTCTTCGTCTAAGACAACGAGATCTAGACCTTGACAAGTACTGCACTACCTCGTAGTATCAATATGATACTGCAGCTGCATAACTTGCTAAGAAATTACCTATTTTGGATGTATAAAATGCTTACTCGTTAAGATACTGTTATTTACATATAATTTGTCTACCATTGACTCTGGCCCCTTGCCAGAGTTGATTTAACCACTAGACCAAAATACGAATCCGTACCCAGCCTAGTGGGTTGTGGTTTAGAATCCAACTGCCAGAGCGATATGCAGCCTACAACTAGATCTCCATACACGTACATCTAGAATTGACGATATTATGAAGATGAACTTAAAAGGCTCACCTCCTAAATCAACTGTTGAAAAAATGGAAGCTGTGGGAGAGCAATTAAAGAGAGGACTGGAACTACCCCTGTCATTACAAGACGGATTGTATTTTTTGCAAACCAGCATTACCAACATGTTAATACCTTGGTAGGTCACGTGGTCTCTATGGAGAGCCCCAATTAGGCATCCATCTGGTCAGCTCTCCCCGCAGTGAGGTATTGCCCTTTCTCCGTCCCGCCCGATAGTCCTAAACTTCCTCTTCCACACACTGCTGAATTTATGCTATTTTCTAACCCAGCTGGCCGCATCCAAGTGCCCACTTACTGTCACCATGAGTGATCCCCTCTCCATCGCAGCTGGCATCGCCGGATTCCTCTCCCTTGGGATCCAAGTGACGCAAACCTTGGTGGATTTCTATTCGGTCTACAAAAGCCAAGACGCTGATATTGCAAAAATCACTCGAAACATGGAGAACCTTCAAGGCGCTTTTCGATCCCTGGAGAGTGCAATCCAGAAACGCCAATCTCAGCCTAACGCAGAAGAACTACTTAAAGAAGTCGAAAAGGCCACACAGAGATGCCATGAGATCATTCACGAGCTTCGGGCTGAGTGCCAGAAACTCCATAGCGAATCTGTTACCTGCTTAAAAGGTCGTCTTCAAGCTGCTGGACGCCGCGCCACCTATCCGTTCCGAAAAAGCACAATACAGAAGATCGAAGAAGATGTTGGCGCGATACGTGAAAACATGTTATTCGCACTCAACGTGCTACAGTTCAAAAGCCACAATCGGATTGAAGATGAAATATCGGCAGTCAGATCTCTTCTTAAGCGGACAAACTCAAGCCAAATTTCTTTCGCCATTCGTGCCTGGCTTCAGGCACCCGATGCATCTGTAAATCATAACGCCGTCTATGCAAAACACCACCCGAAAACTGGACAGTGGTTTGTTAGCAGTCATCAATTTGCGAACTGGCTAGTAGAACGAAGTTCATTTCTCTAGCTCAATGGGTTCGCAGGATGTGGCAAGTCGGTTCTCTGTTCAGTCATAATACAGCATACATTTCGTGAGACGAATCACAGGAGCGGAGTAGGAATCGCATTTTTCTACTTTGCTTTTAGCGATAAGTCAAAACAGGATGCCCATAGCATGTTACGTGCATTGTTGTTACAACTATCGGTGCAGTTCCAAGACGGCCAAAAGGAACTAGAGCAACTACACATACTATCCCAGTCATCCACTCCTTCAGTGCAAGTGCTACTACAAACACTTCGAAGATTTCTTAAACGGTTCCTGGACAGCTATATCCTACTCGATGCACTAGATGAATGCCCCCGAGATAATGGCAGAGAGGATGTTTTAAGAGTGATACAGGTGATACGGGACTGGCGCTTGCCTAGTGTTCATCTCTTAGTAACAAGCCGGGACCAGCTTAACATCCGACGATCATTAAAACCCTCTCATGACTGTGATCTATCAATGAAGAATTCCGGAATTGACAAAGATATCTTTGATTTCGTCTCTTATTAGTTAGAAAATGATACCAAGCTCCAGAGGTGGAAAATGCGACATAGCGAGATCCAAACCAAATTAACGTAGGGTGCGCAGGGAGTGTAAGCATTCCGTCATATCAGTCCTATTTTAATATTCTAACACCAGTTATATATAGCTTCAGATACGTGGAATGTCAGCTCAACTCTTTTCGACGAGCGCGCAACCGAAACCAACTTGACAAATACCTACACAGCTTGCCTCGCGATCTAGATAAAACCTATAAACGCATGCTTTATAACATTGATGAAACATATATTAAGGATGTACGACGTATATTGAGTGTCCTTAGTTTCGCTATCCGACCCCTCACTATTAGTGAGTTGATCGACGCTCATACGGTCGAACTTGGTGAATCACCGTATCTCGATCGTGAGGGCCGATCCTATAGGCGAGATGATCTTATTGATATCTGCCTTAGACTTGTAGAGGTAGTGGAAACCGACAATAATAATGGACAAATGATCTCGATCGCTCGCATCGCTCATTTCTCTATCTAAGAGTATCTTTAATCAGATCGTATCAGAAATCAGACAGCGGAAGGATTCGCTATTAATAGTGGATCTGTAAACACAGAACTAGCGCAAATCTGCCTTACCTATCTTTTACACCTAACGCTTTCTGATAGCATCTTAGATAAGATGAAGATTCGAGATTTCCCACTTACTCACTTCGCTACTATACATTAGTATTAGTATTATCAAATGTCCTAAGAAGGAAAGTTGAAAGCTGAAAAACTGCTATTAAGAGTTTTCCAAAACGAGGCAAATTCGTTCGTGACTTAGGCCAGGTTACATGAGATTGACCTTCTATGGAAAAGAAACGTCAACTTTAAAAGACGCGTGGATAAAACAACATTCCCTATATACTACGCATCCTTTTTGGGGCTAGCATCCATTTTAAGGAATATCCTAGCGACTTATAAGAAGACTTCTGGTCTATCAAACATAGTGAACGCCCAGGATGGAGCCTATGGCAATACACTTCAAGCTGCATCATTAGAAGGCCATAAAGAGGTGGTGCAAATGCTACTAGATCAAGGTGCCGATGTGAACGCCTAGGGTGGACGCTATAGCAATACACTTCAAGCTGCATTATTAGAAGGCCATAAAGAGGTGGTGCAAATGCTACTAGATCAAGGTGCCGATATGAACGCCTAGGGTAGAGCCTTTAGTAATACACTTTAAGCTACATTATCTAGTGGCCATAAAGAGGTGGTCTAAATGCTACTAGATCAAGGTGCCGATATAACCGCCTAAGGTAGACACTATAGCAATACACTTTAAGCTGCCTCATATAGAGGCCATAAAGAGGTGGTGCAAATGCTACTAGATCAAGGTGCCGATGTGAACGCCTAAGGTGGACACTATGGCAATACACTCTAAGCTGCCTTATATGGAGGCCATAAAGAGGTGGTGTAAATGCTACTAGGTCAAGGTGCCGATGTGAACGCCCAGGGTGGAGCCTTTGGTAATGCACTTCAAGCTGCCTCACATGGAGGCCATAAAGAGGTGGTGCAAATGCTACTAGATCAAGGTGCCGATGTGAACGCCTAAGGTGGACACTATAGTAATGCACTCTAAGCTGCCTTATATAGAGGCTATAAAGAGGTGGTGTAAATGCTACTAGGTCAAGGTGCCGATGTGAACGCCTAGGGTGGAGCCTTTGGTAATGCACTTCAAGCTATATTATGGGAAGGCTATAAAGAGGTGGTGTAAATGCTACTAGGTTAAGGTGCCGATGTGAACGCCTAAGGTGGACACTATAGCAATACACTTCTAGCTATATTATATAGAGGCTATAAAGAGGTGGTGCAAATACTACTAGATCAAGGTGCCGACGTGAACGCCCAGGGTGGACACTTTGGTAATGCACTTCAAGCTGCCTCACATGGAGGCCATAAAGAGGTGGTGCAAATGCTACTTGATCATGGTGCCTAGGATAGATACAATGGCAAGCACCGCAATACGCAAATATTAGCACAGAGTCGTGTTAGATTTTCAGTTTTCGGAATATCCTAACGTCAGATTTGCCCGCTAACTTTGCATCCAAGTACTGCATGGGCCATGTTTGGAGAATATCGTTCATCTACAAATATTCATCATTATGGTTCGAGAGACGATTGAATAGTGTACTCTGATTTCGGGAATTCCTGTAGCGCTACTATGTAATTGAATGAATGAGTTCATCCTTAGTCTCATTACATATTACCATAACTAAAAGGATACAAAGGCGAGGACAGTTCATCTCAATTTATTCACTTGACTATACTGCTGGAAAAATCGTCCTACTTTCTACCCTCGTACGTCCTTTAGCTGTCACTCAGAAGAACCCAAATATAGACAAAATACACCCTAGTCCTATTATCAACGCTATTCGCAGCCGGACTTAGGCCGATTCAGTGCCATTCGAAGTGGCACTGGATGAAATCGATCCAGGTGATAAGGGGGTTAGGGATATAGGAATAGGTAAGTAAGGAGGGTGCTACGCTACGTCTAAATTAGTAGCAATCACCTAGCTCTAACACGTAACATTTATATTGCTAAGGTAAAATAGCATTAATCAGGTAGTGCGGAGCGTGAAGAAAAGTTATTTATATCAAAATTTAGTCTACCCACTTTCGTTTCTTAGGCGATTACCGCCTAGGGCGCTAATAATATATGTCAACGAGATAGTAGGTAAGCTCCTCTAGGCTTTTAAAGCTTATAGAGTAGGCTAGATACTTATAGTCTAAATCAAGTTCAAGTTCTTTTAAGTGATCTTTAATATAGGAGTGCTATTTTAGTAGTAAAAGGACGAATTATAATATTCTCTTTAATAGCTTTTCTCCCTTAGCACCTAGGCAAAATAGATATAGCCCTAGCTTTATAGGTACGTTCCGAAAGATTATAGGGTCGTAACGGAGTAAATCGCCTAGGTTATTAAGATACTCCTAGTAGTGATTCTCCTATTCTAATTTATTAGTAAACTATAGGTTATATTTAAAATATATTTACGTAAATCTATAGGTGGATTTATAATACCTTAAGTAGTAATAGTAGAGATATAACTATTTTCGGTGATCCTTAAATCTATTTTAAGTTAGTAATAGGGAAATTATATCTTCCTATTAAAGTATAATATACTTTTTAATAGAATTTCTATAGAGATAGGCCTAGCCTAGGGGGCTAAGGCTATCGCGGTATAAAATCGTGTCTATATCGCTATAGAGAGACTCTAATACCTATAGGGTTCTTCTTCTATCTAAACTCTAGAGGTTAAGCTTATAAGGTAATATACTAGCTAAGAAGTCTCTATAAGGTATTACCTTTCTCCTATAGTAGAATATAGTTTTAGTGTAAATACTTCTATATTACCTCCCTAATTACGCCTAGACCCTTTAGAGCTCTTTATTATAAAGGCTCCGTTTCTTACTATAGACCCTCTTTTATTTAAGTTAAATTTTATATTTTTCTTCTAGTATAGTATTTAAGAGTAGTAAACTTAACTTTACTATAGTTTAGTTAAGAGTATAGATATCTTCTTAGGTAAGAAATTTATACTTAGCTTTTATAGGAAGGAGTTATAATAAAGAGGAATTATAGTAAAGACCTATTCCTTAATAATTCTAGATATACTCTTATTAGGTAGTAATTCCGAGGTAGTTTACTAGTCTATTAACCTTACTAAGAGGATATACGTATAACTTTCTATATATATTCCGGTTAGTTTACCTAGCGAACTTTATTCTTATAGACTCGGAATATAACTTATCTATTTTATTATTAGTCGGCCTAAGCCTATACTTATAATAAATCTATACCTACTTCCTATAAAGCCTATCTTTAACACGCCCGAATAGTAATATTTAGCGTATAGCTACTTCTATAGCCTAGATTAACTAAGGCCTTACCGAAGATATCCGCCCCCCTAGTATAGCCTTTAAAATTATCTATATTATATTTAAGATATTAGCGAAAAACTAGTAGATTTCTTATCTCTTACTAGATATAAATCACCTTAAGGATCTTATCCTCCGAAGGACTAGCTTACTTATATCTATTAATAGTATCTAGGATCTCGCTTATAGAACTATAATCTCTAAAAGCTTTATCTATAGTAGCTATTAGTAAAAAGAATATTAAAAGGTTTAGGAATATAGGTATATCCTTAGCGTATACTTTATAGAATACGTGCCTAAGAATCTCCTATTTATTCTTTTACTAGAATCCTTTAATAAATTCGCGCTTATAGGTAAGTATAAGTATTCTTATACTATCTATAGTCTTAATAGTAAGTTTAAAATACTAATATAGTTAGCTTTAAGAATTTCTTTTTCCTTCTCTAAATATACCTTATAGTAGGTAGCTATTATACGGGCTTCTAAGGTAGTATCCTCGCTCTCCCTAATCTCCTAGACTCTATATCTCCGAGCGGTTAATTCGTGAACCTCTCTAGTGCGTAAAGAGGTAAAGTAATATAGGAGTATAGCGGCGCTTAGCTAAACTCTAGCCCGGTCGGTAGGGTTTCCACGATACTTATAGTAGTCGCGACACTATAATTAAGTTATTAAGATAGTCAAATCATTTAGGGATATACCGCTATCTTTATCTATTTACTTAGTTAAGAGAGGGATCTTAGTCCTTAGTTCTCCCTTAATATACTATCTAGTATTAGCCCTAATTTATTTAGGGGGACATTAGTGCGGACCTCTTTAATTATAGTCCTAGTGGCTAGTAGGAAGTCAAAGTTTCTTTCTCTCTTTATACTAGTGATAAACTACCTAAAAAATCCCTTTATCGTCCCGACTATAGGCCGTTCTTCGATCCGACCGTCCTTTCCTTTTATAACCCACTCTAGAAAAGCCCTATATATTTAGATATCCGGCGGAATAACAGAATATAGATATAATTCGATAAATCTAGGGATAGAGGCACAATTTAGCGATTTGCTTCTCTACTCCTATAGCTAAGACTTACTTATTAAAAATAAGTAACGTCTCTTTATACCCAGATTCTGTTCGTGGTAGTACTATCCGTTGGATTTCATTATTACTATATCCCCCGAAATCCACAATATTAGCTATATACTTCAATATTGGGTCACGCTTGGTACGTATCTTACTCGTGATAAAGTGAGGCTTGAGAGGTGAAAACGGAGGGGAAAAGAAAGGTTACTTATAGCATTTCCGGTCAGAAGTGGGAAATGTACATTTTGCTGTACGGGCTGAATATTCGGGTGAAGAATATTCAGGTGGGTGAATATCCGCCCTGAGTGCCCTGAATAGAGCGGCGAGCCGCCCATGCCCAAACCGTGGGCGCTAGGTGACCACGGTCATATATATGCTGTTGTATGTTTATGTTTTATTTTTTTGGCTTTTTTAATGACCTATGCTGTCTTTGTATAGCGGTTGGGGTGATGGAGTAAAGATGGGAAGAATTCCAGAAAATTGCACTCTTGAATCCGAGGGTGACTTGAAGAATGAGGAATAACTGTCAAACTTTTCATTTAACTTATGATCAGCTTTCCATAATCTCCAATTGGCCTTCCTATTCAAAATTCTTCTTTGTTAAAGTAGGAGATTTGACACGCATGTATCAGCAGTTTTCGTTGAGAACAGGACACTTCACATAGTGAGGTTATTCTGAGACTACAGTCTAGTTTGGCTGTTAATGAGTTCAACAGGGTGCTTGATGTGATGAGAGATTTGGTACAGAGATATGGTTAATGGAGGGTAGGAAGGATTCTTCCATCTTCTTGTTGCTCCGTCCCACTAGGATTTGACTACATACGTGGGAATATTGCTATAAGTGGAGATCTGTATAAGATCTAGGTTATGTTGACGGTTAAATATATCCCTCCAGTTTAATTTATTATTTTATACGCACTCTCTTGGAATAGTCAAGACCACCCCTAATCACCGCCAGGTCGCCACCCCTAGTCAACATAATATCTCTCTTTACCAAGGCACAAACAATGTCCCTTCTCCCAGCAAACCAATCGCACGGGAGGAAAAAATGCTCAAAGACATCGAGCGTCGGGGAATACCCACGCTGCGAGATCTCCAGCTCGCCGAGATCAACAGAGCACACCCAAAAAGACCGGTTCAAGAATATAAGTTTGTTGGATTCGTCAACTCCGAAGACATGGGCCACACTTAGTTCCAATGCGGTCATCCGTAAACCAAGCGGAGCACCTAGATTCGATGTCGTGACCATGTTCTCCCCTTCTTGATCTCTGGCAGGTTGACCTAACGCCGCCACAGCATCTGATTGCTTCCCTAGCAAGAAGCTGCTATCATTGCTTTCGACGGGAAGGCAGTCTGCGTCAAGTATCGCAATTCTTTTGATGTTGACGGAGCCTCCCGGATATAACAAGTCAAGCATGATTCTTTGTTTTTGATCAAGTGAATAGAGGGTCGCGCTTTTGGGCTCTGCCTTCGCGTCCACTGATAATATAATGGATGAAACTTCAGACCAGTCACTCCAGCGGTAGGTGCAGACTTTGAAGTTGTTGACACAGATAAGGTGCAGAGAGGATTTTGGATGCGAGGTCCATTTGCGAATACCTGGCATCTGTGGATATGACCGCTCTATCTCATGCTTACCGCTGTCCAAATTGAACAGGTGGTCAGACTCGCGAGTTGATACCAGGAACCTCGCCGCCATATCCCCCCCTACTAGCACATCTGTGATTGCCTCCACGGAGTCGAGGTGGGACTTGAAGAGTACCGTCAGATTGCTGAGCCAACCTTTGTCAGTTGACTTCTGAATTTTATGTAAGAAGATTTTGTTTGCGGCATCAACGCTTATGAGGGCATCTCTATGCTTAATCCAGGCCAACAAGCGTACTGGTGCCTTGTGGCTATAGAGAGTCCCTAAGCTCGCAGCCGTTTTTCGTTCGTGTAGTAGGACTGATCCGTCGTCCTTTCCGCAAAAGATAACTTCGAACGTGTGATGGACCGCCATTGCAGTAATCTTTGCTTTCGCTTCTATGGTAATCGCCTCGACCACTGTAGTAAAAGTGGCCCCGCTGCTGTCATCGCTCATGGACTCCCGCAACAAAGCTTCAGGTTCCCAGACAGTGCACTGTGCGCCTCGTATGTCCGCAAGAAGCATACTGTCTTTAGTAAAGACAAGCTGCTTTATATAAGAGTTATATGACTTGACTTGGTAGAGGAGCTTAAGCGTATCGAATTCATAGACGTGGATAATCCCATTTGCACCACCCGCTGCGAGGAGGCGTCCATTCGGGCTTGGGGCGAGTGTCTGGCAGTTGGCACGAAAGCACTCCAGCTGCTGATCGGCAAACGGGTCAAGAAGTGCAAGATCTCCATCAAGGTATGCGACTGCGAGAAGGCTAATATCTGGATTGGGATTGAAAGCAAGCGCGATGACGACATGCGTACTGGTCTCTCCGCTGGAGAGTTTCTTTCCACAGCTACCAGCGTAGACTTCCTCTCTCATGTCCCATAGCGTAATGGGTTGGCGGCTGTAGGCGACAGCAAGCATTTCGTGGCTGGTAGAGAGAGCCAGTGCGCATGGGGTCCCACGCGGCGTGCGGTTTGTCTCTGGTGTATCGGTATCGCACCATGGCCTCCGCACCGACTCAGACCGGGCGCTATGTCCCAAATCCCAAGTTGCAACGTAGTTCTTGCCACTGGCAATTAAGAGTCTCTCTCCATCGAATTCCATTGCCAGCGGACGTGGAGGACTCGCTAGGCTGCGGACCACTTGCCCACTTCTGATGTCCCAGATCTTGGCCAACTTCATGCCACAAGTTGCTACAAGGTCGGTTTTGGTCTTGAAAGCAATAAACTTGACTGCTTCACCGTGCTCCAAGACCTTGTACTCCTGGTGGGATATGGCATGGTACAATAATACAGTTCCCGAGCTGAGACCGACAGCTAGAAACTCATCTCCATAGCGCAAAGCCCTTGGTTGACCCTGACGGAAGTCGATACAAAGTAACCTGTCATCCCATTGCTTGTTAGGCGCGCCAAGGACTTCTAGCCTCCGGCCCGAGCCCCCGGTATTGAACACTGTAGAATCAGTGGGACAGAATGGAGGTATCAAGGAGTATATTGCCGACGGCGATACCATGAGGGCGTTGGCGAACATGGCTGGAATCCGAGCGAGGTCTGTAGACCACTGACGTATTGATTGTATCCGAGGGTCTAGTGGTGAACGCTCAACGGCGCACGCATTGGCGTAAGTTTTGAGATGTTTTGAGGCACGAATGAGGTGATTGAGATCTCGAGACTCAGCAATCGTTTCGATCCAAGTGAGGACGTTGGATTTTAGAAACTGAACGACAAGCTGGAACGTCTCTGCCACCGCCGGATCAGCCCTCGAGAGGTGATACGAGTATGCTGTATATGCGTACATGGCAAAATCCAGTCTTTTTGCTGGCAAATTTGCCGAAGAACGGTGTCGGCTGTTCCTAGGAGGCTTCATTTCCTCCCCGATAAGGTAATTGAGACACACCTGAGCTATCCGTGTGTGCGCCTCAGTTTTCTCGATGGAGAACTCGGACTCAAATCCGCCATCTACAAGGAATTCTCTGGCAGTTTCATGCACCATCTTGACTTTCCCATATTTGTCCACGACCACCAGCTGACCGCACAGCGCGGCGATGCTTTCCTCCAATCTTGGGAACGAGTCGTGGATGTCCAGGGAAAGAGCACCGTCCAGCTCACTGATTGTCAGCGGTCGAACCGCACATGCTGCCCAAATAAGAATAGTCTTGGCGAGCTCCTTTCCACGAGCGGCCTGCGACATATAGTCTAAAGTCCGCTTGTATAGTGACTCCATGCCTCTAGGCACGCTTTCGAGAATTTGGTGAATTTCATTCCTGCTGTGACAGCGCGAGAGATCATCAAGCACTAGAATTGTCCACAGGAAGGACCCCTTAGATTTGTCTAGTATCTTTTCTGCTAAAGCACCTCGATCATCAGGTCCCACGACACCTAAGACCAAGGTCCTCCTCTCAACCAAAAGCCTGAGATCTGGCTCCGTGTCTCTTGTCGAGATTGATAGCGACTGGACTAGGTTAGGTGGAATCACCGAGAAACCTTGGTCCAGATCAGCCGTATCCCGACTTGTGACGAGAATTCTCAGGGGCATAGATTCGTCCATATTGGAAAGAATGGAATGTAGGAGGACCTGAGGATTGGAACACTCATCCAGGGCGTCGATTACCCAGTAATGCCGAGTCATGGCGGCCTGGAAAATTCCAGAAAGAAAGAGGATTCTCCAGAGAGTACGGTCCTCGGCACGATCTAAGCAAACACCGTCTGTTTGCATCCCTAGGATGGCATCACTAGCTTCGGCATTTGAGCTAGCCATCTGAAAAGCCAGAGATCGGAGGCAACGACCTAGGTTGGCCTTCATCTTGTCTCCATGCTTGAAGAAGAAGTAACTGCAAGCTTGGCCGGACTGCTTGAGCTCATCGATGACATAGCCGGCGAGAACAGACTTCCCAGTTGCTGGCTTTCCCTTAATCCACAGCGCCCTATCTTTTTCGCATTCGCCGTCTCTCCATTTGGCGTAGCTGGCTTTAGCCGATATCCATCCGCATGACCCTTGCGTCCGAGCTTCGCAGACGTTTGCAAGATCATCATCCAAGACGTCGGAAACTTCCAGGTACTTCTTGAGGCTCTTAATCCTATCACGTCTCTGCTTTGCCTTCAGCTCTAGAGCTGTTGTGGCAGTCCTGCTCACAGTAGAGGCGAGTGAGTTCCGCAGGATGACGTAGTTGGGGTCTTCAGGTGTGTCAAATTTGCATATCGAGCGGTGGTCAGCAGTCATGGGTATCTGCTTCTCTTCACGGTACCCGAGGACGGCCGACTCGGGATCCACAATGAGTGAGTTAAATAATCTCATATCCTGCGTTTCGTAGAACGACCAGAGCTCAAGATCGGCCGAAAAATGGCGGAATTCGTCATTGATCACTTGGACCGCCCCAGAGTTCGGTTCCAGATCGCCAACATAAGCGCGGTCATACGCAACCTTGAGAAGGTTCTTCAGCATCTTTGCTGAGTCGGCACCTCGATGCGGTGTGGCGAGGAAATATAATGCGGTGATTCGCGCAGCCAGCATATTGTGCATTGCGTCTTGTTTTGCCAGGATATATGCTTTCTTCATAACCAAGCCACCCATGCTGTGGCCGACGATAACAAGGTCTGTCTTGGAATTCATAATGTATGGCGAAGTGCTGAGCGCGCCTAGGAATGACTTGCCAATGTGGTGTATATTCAAGCAGTCCTCCTTTCCCTTCAAATAATGCGAGTCATATCCATAACTATGGATGCGCACATTCTTGAATGCGAGATCTTTCGAAAGCCACTCCTTTGGCCAGAAGTGAGATTGCAGGGACGACTTGCTCCATGTTTTCCTAGAATTACCGCCTAGACCATGAATGAAGATGAAGTCGATCTCCGGCGTCGTCGGGGAATATAGGAGGTTCAGCCCAAGCGAGCCCTTCACATCCTCCGCTTGATCGCCCGAGATGTTTGACGTCCTGAAGAGGGTTTTTGACAAAGAAAACAAGCTCCTCGAGCTCTTGGCTGATTCGCGACTACTCAATGAACTGTCTGGAAGTAGTTCCGATTTTGCGCGCCGCTGCTTTCGAAGGAACTGGTACAAGTCAGCGATCAGGTAGGATTGAAGTTTCTAGTAGGCTAAAGAGTCGAGAGTGAACCATTGTGACCCACAAAACTTAGTGGGTAGCGCGCCAATCCCGGTTGGCCGGACTCATCTAAGGCAGTGTCTACACTGCACTAAGGTCTGTCAATTCTGAGGAGAATAACAATGGTATAAATGACTTGTTTCAGAAGAGAGACTGTTGATGTCCAACGCCCTCGGATTGAAGCACGTTGCAGTTAGGCGGCACACCCCCCATCCCCACCCTGCGGGTTCAACCCACCAATTAACTCGTTGCTTTAACCGCTCTTCGGTGCCCCCCACAGGCTCGGGAAAGACCGCCACGTATTCATCCTAGAAAATCACGCAAGATTTCAAGATTACCCGGTTTAAAGCTGCACCTTCTTTGCCCTTTCTTGATCAAACTCTGTTGATTTGGTCCGTGTGAGGGATTGTCTGCGCATTGGGCATTATTTCGAAAAGCCATTTAGGATGAGTTCCCAGACAAATCCAACCTTCTCGGTTGGGGACCATGAAGCTTTCATGGATTTCGCCCTCATTCAAGCACAAAAGTCACCGCCTGGTGCCAACAAATTCTGCGTCGGAGCCGCACTTGTCGATGCCGATGACGGGAAAGTCCTATCGACAGGGTACTCGCTTGAATACCCACGAGATTACAAAGGAGATCCAGGTACCACGCATGCAGAGCAGTGTTGTTTTATCAAGATCGCCGACGAGCACAATCTTCCCGAGGAACGCATCGATGAAGTCCTTCCGGCCAACACAGCACTGTACACAACAATGGAGCCATGCAATGAGAGGCTTAGCGGCAACATGACCTGCGCGACCAGAATCTTGAGGCTTAAGAGTGCTATAAAGACTGTCTACGTGGGAATCAAAGAGCCGGGGACGTTTATCGCGCACAATGACGGACAGGAGAGGCTGGAGGCCAACGGTGTCAAGGTCGTGTTCCCTGTTGAGCATTGGCGTGACAGAATCATCAAGGTCTCTATGAATGGACACTGAACTTTAGAAGACCTCCCGAGGTCCTGAGAACACATACGTACCTAGGTTAGCTACATCTGTAAGAAAACCTTGGACAGAATGAGCGCAAACCTTGGAACACCCGGACCGGCCGGACCGGCCCGTGCGGTCATGCGGCTCTACTTTCATCTGACCTTCTGCTTATTATGCCTTATTTTTAAAACTTATAACCAGATTTGCGCTATACCCTGGCCCAATGGTATTTGCGCTGATTTTGGGAGCAACTTGGCTTGTTCCCAGGATCAAACTGGGTATCAGCATTTAGGAAGGACTTCGGAAAAGCGGATCGGTCGCCCGTTTCCCCATGATATGCGATATGACCCAGTTTGTAAGATGAACACAAAAGGTATCATACCTGGCACCTGCGAGCAACACGATAACATGCCGCTTGCTTTGATTATTTACGCCTGCTATCGATACTATGTAATTCCGAGAACTAGAACCTCATTCTGCAGAGCCCCATCGAATCCCTCGAGTCACGTGTCTGCGAGGATTGTGCTTTATATTTTAATACCCTGTGATTGACAGATTCGGGATATTTGTATTTTACCAGAATCCGTATGCCAAGTGCACAGTTAGCCCGCATGTAAATATATGAACGTAACTGTACGTTATGTACCGATGTACTCGGCCCAGTATGACCAACTCCCACCGGCTGTTGGGTTGCATGGGTCTAATGCAGAAACTCCATAGTCTGACAAAAGCTACCTACCATGGCAATGTCTTAGAATCATATTGCTTAACCGCAATATGATATAGCTGGGGAATGAATTAGCTTCAGCATATATAGTATCCGATTCCTCCAAAAGGAAATGTGTGGTAACTATATAGTATAGTTAAGAGGGGGTTCTTAAAAGTGAAGTTCTTGAATTCTTTAACTTCAGTCTATAATTTGGAGGTTGTCTAATAATACTGCTCAACTTTATAGAAAAACTATAAGATAGCTTCAATTCTTACTGTTTATCTCCAGCCTGGGCAGATATTTCAATCCTGTAGCTATAAATATGAATTTTAATAAATACTCTTTGGTACTAGTTTTACTGTCGATGACTGCAGTTACCGTCGGGACCTATACCCTTGAATTGGACACCCATGTGACCGTAGGAACAGCTGCAGATGCCAACTCAGCATCGCGGGGCTATTTTGATCTAATCACAACAAAGTCATGCAAGTCAGCCAGCATAATGGGACTAGCGTTCATGCATGTATGTGCTATGGGCCAGTGGCTTGCGGCGAACTCACTGGGGTATTTTAATTCATTAAGAAGTGATTGAGCCGTCTTTGACGGAATCTCATCTTGTCTTCTGGGTGTCCATTGGATTTGGGGCTGATAGGATCTCCTTTCTGTTGTGAGCAACAATGGAGATCCCGGATTATCCAAGTGACTTAGGAGTTGCCTCAGATCATTCCTCATTAATATCCTCCTCCTCCTCCCAGCGCAGCTCCGTTAGGTATGGCCCAAGGAGGCTACCCATTATCGAAAATAATTCCTCGCCTTTGTCATGGGGCTTCTCGCCTCAGTTACGCACAGCAACAAGTTCGAGAAATCCAGCAACCCGTACAACTCCTGGCGGCAAGATATCTCCCCGTTCAACTCCACCGCTGGCTACAAGAACACACGAACATTCTCAGCAATTCGCGACCCCATCGGACCCATCGGACCCATCTTACGCTTTTCCCCCAACAGATCCAGCCGAGCCATCTTACCCATCTTACCCATCTTACCCATCTTACCCATCTTACCCATCTTACCCATCTTACCCATCTTACCCATCTTACCCCTCGTACCCCTCGTACCCATCTTACCAGACTTACCCCTCATACCAACCTTACCCATCCCACCCCTATCACCCAACACCATACAACTTTTATAATCCAACTGAACCCCTATCAGATCCACATAATCACCATGCTCACTGGGTCGATTCTTCCCCATCTGGCCCTTCCGAGGCAGACATTCAGGCCTCGTCTTTGGCAAATCCCCACATCTCACAAACCTCCAATATTCTCGACCTGACCAGTTTCGATGCTAGTAACGACAATACAGCAGATCGATTTGATGACAAACAAACACAGGTAAACTACACCATCAAAATTCGTCCTAATCCATCTGGAAGCATAGACGAGGAGGAGAACAAAACTCTGCCCCCAACAGAGGTGAAGAGGGTGCATACCCAAGCATTACTCAATAATGGAGAGAAAGCGATTATCCCGGAGGTCTATGAGATCATCCAAACAAAATTGGTCACAAAATCAGATGATGACAATCATGACATTGCGACTCTAATACATGACAAAGCCGGCTTGTCTCAGCCAGAGACACGATGGATGTAAGCCGACCTCAGTTTATTGCCGAAGATACTGTCAATCACGACTGACCAATCTTTAACAAAGTCATTTCAAGAGCAATCCCATGAGTTTGGGATTTTTTCAAGTAAGACCGTTCTCGATTATTTTCTAGAAGCTCTACTAATTAAATGATAGACTGAAGCATTAAGACTGAAGAACATCTCAGAGGCGGCGAGTGTGCCGATACTTCAAATATTCAAACGCCTCCGCCAGAAAGAGAAGAGCTTTATTCATGGAAAATACTTTGATTCGACGGCAATAAATTTTGTCACGACAAGTGATGTTGCCACGAGTGAGCAATGTTCCGTTGCGTTTTTCGCATTTCCTTTCCTGGCTCTTCAGCCCCCCAGGCTCCTCGACGAGCTTGTTGTGAATTCTCACCCAGTGAGAAGTCTTCTTCAATTCCAATACTCATTTGAGTCAACAACCAATCATGATGAACATCAGATTGTTGGCGAGGTTGATCAGTCGAACGATGTATTGCATGTACCACAGGTATGGATGCTCCTGATAAATGGAGGTAAGTCGCTGTGTATGGCCGGGGGGGGGGGATGTCTATTTCTAATCTCCAACTAGATGTCATTCTCAGCATGAGTCCCACGGATCTGGAGGAACTTCAAGGGGAACACTTTGAACTCAAACAGGCTATTGATCTAGGATCAACTTCTGAGGCTTCTCAGATCCGGGTGATCGATGTCGACGGAAAGGAGTACTGCCTACCCAAGGCGCGCTGTCAGACATGGTTTGTGGGTGGACCAACATAATCTGTTGAATTCTGAATTTCTCAAAGATACTGATACTATGCTATTATTGTAGGAGTTCATCCACATGTTCGTGGGAGTTCTAGGGCCAGAAAATCCCATGTCAAGATCTTTCTACGATGACTCTTGGAAAGAGGGCTACGACTTGCAATCCAATAGTGAGCAGGTTTCAGAGATGAACTGGTCTGAAATTTCTAAAAGGAGAGAATATGAAGATATTGTTATCCGTATCGGGCTCAAGCCCAGAGAACATCTTTCGGAACCTGAACCTGAACCTGAACCTGAGATTGTGCAACCACAGGGATACGCACCATCGACGCAACTAGTACCACTAGCACAACCGCCACCACCGGCCTTACCTCGATCATTCTCTCAAACTCCGCCCAATAGCCAAGTTCCTTTTGGGCAGCCAAATGGTGCACAAAGTGATGGATTCGCACTGTCTACAATGACATATGGACAACCGGGAAACCAACTTGTCCATGAGCACGGGCTCAATACTTACTCCTACAGTCTTCCAGCATCCTACCTTCCTCAACCAGTGGAGCCTCAGCCTAGCTTTTCGTATCCGCAGTCTCTCTATACTCAGTTGCCTTACGGGAATACGTACCCGCACTCCGCCCCGTACAGGTACCATTCGGCCGATATTCCTTCCGCAAACCCGATTGATACTCTGACAAGAGTAACTCCTTTCCATCATACACGTCCATACTCTCATCCCCGTGGAGACCCTCGTGGCACTTCGGCGTTTGGAGGCACAAAACCTCTTACAAGCAAACATGCACACAGCGCTCTGGCACATTTGGCTGGTAGGTAGCTTGCGCTTTCCTTGGCCCAGGCATTCTCTCTAAACAAGCGAATGAACAATGCTATAACTCTAGACTTATTCAAATTAGATATACCGACATCAAAAAAGAGTAAACCCCTTGTTCGATTTTCCGAGGAATCTCAAGATACCGTTCTCGTGAGACATCCAGCACATCTCGAAAAGGAAAGCAAAAGGCAGCCGGAAACGACGCACAAGCATAGTATGCAAGCAGTACGCCAAAATGCTTGGAAGCAAGAGAAGCAGCCCATTCGATTGAAAGACCTAGATGGGTTTGAACTGGCTATTCCCTGGCGTATTGGCCGAACCTGGGCGGTAGGGCTATCCACATCCTCTTGCATATGTTTACATGTTAACATTGTTGCATGATCATTTACTAAGAGCTCCCAGAAAATGTATTCTGTTATCGGCACGAAGATGCAGGAGAAACGCCAGAATTGGTCGACCTTTATTGCTGGGAGATACAGCCTAATTGGTCCGAACGGGCCAATCGCTCCCTCTGAATGGGATAAAAAGATTTTTGCTGGTTGCACAATCGAGCTCAAAACTGAACCATCGTTTTGGTATGCCCAACAGAAGCCTCAGATGCTCCAGTTGCCAGTCAGTCCATGGTCGAATGACATGTCCTCATCGCGAAGTGAAAGCTCGGTAATAACCGTGATTCCCCGACCCGCCACTCCGAAATCTTGTAGCGGTGGGAAGAAGACTGAGGTGAACCAATTCGACAATCTGCCACCTGAGCCTCATATAAATCGACGATCAGTCCGCTCAGAGACTGGGGACCGCCCTATCGATGGCCAAAACTATCCAAACTCGGTGAATGTGGTCACAGCGGAGAAATCTTCCGACTCTGCGCTCGACAGGAAAGGTCACTTAGCATCCAACATTGACGGAACTCCTCACTTGACGAAAGAGCCTGAGTCAAATGTAAATGTCTATTTGAAAATAGAGAACCAGGAGAATGTTCCCCAGAAGCCCCGACCTAAGAATACGGACATTCAGAGCTTTGTCGAGGATGCCAGTGAAACCGAGGCCGAGGATTACTT